ATAATAATGAATAATAGGATAATATAATTGAATAAGAATTATTATTCATATTTTATTAACAATTATATATTCAATTAATACAATATATAAATTAATGTTTAAGTAAAATAATGTAATAATAAATTGATATATTCAAATAAAGAAATTAATAAAAGATATATTATTTGATATTCATCTTCTTAAGATTTATTTAGATGTTATCTCTTTGCATATTTTATCATTTTATATTTCATCTTATTCTTTTCATTTTTGTGTGTATTTGTAGTAATTTATTCATTTGTTTTTATTATGATATATCATCATTCATAAAATGTAATAGTTATTTTAATTTCAAATATTGATTAATAATGAACAATTTACTTAATCTACATATTTTGAATATATTATTCTTTCTATATTTCTTTGACTTCTTTCATGTTTATTAATATTAATGATGTTAATAGTGGTTGAAACTACAATATGAATATAAATAGAATAAACAACAATATAATGAATAATAAAAGAAATAGAAAGATGATATTAATGAAATGATGTAATTTATTACAATGTCACAATAATTAATGAAATATACATCTTCATATTCTTTCATTTCTTCGTTATCATTCTTATTCTTTTTATTCTTATAATTCATTACTTGTTATTATCGTTTTATTCTTTCCTTCTATTTATTTCTCTTTTTATTTTGAATATATTCTTATTGTCATTTATTTTCATTTTCTTGTATTGGTCTTTCTATTGAATCTTTTACTTGTTACTTTATTTTGCTTTCAAATAATCGTAATGAAAATCATTTATAATTTGTTAAATTTTCTTCTTTTTATTCAATTGTGTTTTGATATTCTAATAAAAATGTGGTTATTTTCTTATGTTGACTTTCATCTCTTTATTGGATTTCTTCGTTATCTTTCTTTTTGAAATTCATCTTCACTTGTTGTTATTACACTAACTATTACAACATTAATTGAAATATAATTCATATTTGCGTTTCAGATGAGTATGTTATACTCAAATTTACTTCATCTTTATTCTGGTGTGTTTTTATTTTCTAATTTAGATATTTTATATTTCCTGAAGTATAATTATTGTGATGGATTGTTTACTTCTGATACTTTCTTTTTAGAGTAACCATGTTATTTAAATACTTCTATCACATAATTGTTTATCTCATTCTCTTATTTCTTCCTTAATATCACAATCTTTTCGTTAATTTATTAATAATTCTGTTCTTTTTCTATTCTCTTCTTTATTTTTCTCTATTTCTTTATTATTTTATTATTTTATTTGCATTTTCCTCTTCTTCATATCTATTCTCTTATTCTTCAAATATCTTTCTCATATTTATCTTCATTCTTCATTACTCATTTATTATTTTATCATCTATTCAATTAGACTCTTTTGTTTATCATCATCTTCTTTTCAACTTCTTTTTCTCATTCAAGAAAATACAATCTTCACCATATTGTTGATAATGTATATTCTTTACTCTTATTTTTCTTAATTTCGTATATTTCTTGTTGTGCAATGATTTTAATTTCTTATTCAAAGAGTCTTTTCCATTATTCTTGATTTTGTATTTCAATCATTTCTTTTCTTTTATTTCTGTTTTGTTTCTTATTTCGATATTGTTTGTACATTCTTTGTGTGTTATTATGATATTTATTTCTATTATGATAATGCAATGCAATTTGTTTATTTCTATTTGAGTTATTATTAAAATATTTATGAAAATGATTGAAATAATGAGTGAAATGAATCATATAACTATTGATGTAATTGTAATGATGATAATTATTAATATTGTAAATATTCATGTATTTCTGTACATACAGATAATACCTATTTTCACTCATTCTTCTGTCATTTATATTTCTTGGATGACGTGAATTTCTTCTTCTTTTGTTATTTTTTTGAATTTTTTTTTTTTGAAGATTTTCGTATTGCATTTTTTTTTAAAGAAAGTAACAATAATTTGTAAATATTTTATTATTTTCTCTAAAGAAAGAGAAGAAGGAACTTTGAAAAGAGAAAGAATGACAGATAAGGAAAAAGACATAAAGAAAGCAAAAACAAAATTTCTTCATGACAATGCGAAAATGAGTGATAGACTTAATTCCTTTGATAACCTTTGCCGATTATTAAGTAAGAAAGAATTAGAAGAATGGATAAGTGAGTATCAAGAAAATTTTAATAGATTTTGTGAAGAAGTAAATAGGATGTTAGAAGGAATGTTAAAAAGTTCTAAGATGATTGAAGATGCGGTTGTGAATAAAATTCTTGGTGTTATTAATTGGGGATTAATTTTAAATGAAAAAACGAAAATATTAGAGAAGAAAAATTATCAACAATTTATTAAAGATTGTTTATGCATTGAAACAGAAAAAAGTATTAGAGAAGAGACTTTTAAAATTGTATTAAATTGGATTAAGTTAAAAGGATCAACTAATCAAGAGGAAGTTAAAATACTTATTGGTGCATTAAATATTAATAGCTTTATGGAAACTACAATAACTCTTAGTACATCTAAACCATTAGCAATTGGAATATCATCAAGTTTTACTCCATTAAATAATGGACCTATATTACCAACTGGTCCAATATTAATGTATGAAACACAACATTTTATTATTTCTAATAATTCAATGACAAATAAAACAATAGAGTCATTAACTTTTATAAATTATGTAATGAAAGAAGTAATAAATGAAAAAGGAAAACGAGGAAAAGGATTAATATCATTATTTATAGCTTTAATGAAATTACTTTATTCAAATCAAAATACAGAGTTCAAAGAATTTCAAACAGAAAATGAATTAAAAGGATATAGTGGAATTCAAAAAATTTCTGAAAAAATACATTCAATTGTTATTAATTCATTAAAAGAAATTAATGAAGAAGAAGTAATTGAATTACTAAATGAAATACCAGGATTTATTGAGTTATTAAAAGTAATTTATTCTATTTCAATGAGAGAAAAAATAACAATAGTTAAAGATAGTATTGAGTGGTATTTTAGAGTGTTTATATGTCAAACAAAAATAGAGGGAATTATTAATTCAATTGAATATAATGATTTTAGAAAATTAATAATTGAAGGAATAAAAACGAGAATTGATATCATTCAAAATAATGAAGAAGAATTAATGCTTATAAATTGTTTACATAATATAGTATTAAACATTTATTCTTCAAATATTAATGCAATGATTCAAAGAACATTGGTTGATACAATAAAATTATTTACTATTGGTAAATTAGAACGTTTACAAAATTGTTCAATTGATAAAAAACGAAGTACAAGAATAATGATTCAAATTTTATTGTATTGTTGGTTATGCTATAATAGTAAAAATGAAAAAGAATGGAAAATATTACAAAGTATAATTAAAGAATATTATAATATTCCTGGAGTAGTTGATGGTATTTCTGATATTATTGGACATATTTTATTCTTTCTTTTATTAGTTTATTATAAATTTGAACCTAATCAACTTGTTATTTCTGAACAAGCAATAATATCACCTGTAGTTGAAATTCCTACTAAACAACCAATAGATAAACATACATCAATACCAATACAATATGAATATCTTTATTCAAATCTTGAAGTACCAAAGTCTATTCCATTTCTTTATAGTTTAACTAATAAATGGAATCAAATGGATTTTATTTATTTTTATCAATTAATGATTAAATTTTTCACTCAAATACATGTAAATGAATTTCCACTTTGTGTAATAAGAAATATTCATATTATTATAATTACTTCGTTACTTATTTTGATTCAATATGAAAATATTTCTCAATATAATTCTTCATCAAATGAACTTAATTTAAAAATGATTTATACTGACTATTTATTGTCTTCTTTAAAAAGTAATGATTCTTTAATTATTAATTTAACTATTAAAGCATTTTATCAATTATATTCTAAAGGAACAATTATTTCTAAGATTGGATATAATATTATTGATTATTCATTAGAGTCTTTAAACCAAACACAACTATTTAATGCTTTAGAAAATCTTACAGAAGTATTTTCTTCATTGAACCCATCAAGTTTTATATTAATTCCAACAATCCTTAAATCAATTCAAAAATTAGAAAAATTACCAAATGTTGATATTCTTCCTGAATATGATAATACTTTTATTCCATATGACAAAAGACTCGAATATCCTTCATTAAATTGTGGGTTAAAAGTTATTACTTTATTACATTCTATTCAGTCTCTAAAAGATTTTGATGAAACTGCTTTAGAAATAAAACAAAAAAAGGAAAATCAAACAGAAATAAATTTCTCTAAACCAGCACATAAAATTTATATTGAGTTAGTTAAATGTTATAAACATTTGATTAACATTTTATTATCAACATTTTGTCATACATCAATAGTTTGGGGCATTACAAAATGTATCATAGAAATTGGTGAATATATTAAAATAAATTCTGATGAAAATAATGGAGAATTAACTACGTTTATGTTAGAAGAATTAATTGATCTTATTATTGGTGATTTCCAAGACTTAGAAAGTAGTAAAGTTAAAAACATAGAAATGTGTATTAATTATTTGGCTAAAATGAATGAAAAATTACCTGATGAAACTATTGAATATATTATAGATACCTTATGTAAATTAACATATACAACAAAAGAAAAAAGTCAACGAGGAAGTATTGTTAATGGAATAGGAAGTTTTTGGTTAAATTGTCGAAACCTTATTGAAAGAATTAGTGAAACAACCGTTAAAGAATGTTTTACTATATTCCAAAAGAATAATAATAATGAAAAAAAGGTTAATGATGATAGTGATGATAAGATAGATGATGTTTTTGAAGGGAAAGTAATTATTGAGAATCTTATGCATTCAGTACATGAATTTGAGAGTGGAGAAGATTATATTAAAGATGAAGAAAATGGAATTAATTTTGTAATGAATGACAGAATTTATTGTGTTTATTATAATGAAAATAAAGAAGAAGTTAATATTATTGTTAGGGATCTTGTTGGAAAATGGGGATGGAGATTAAAAGAAATAAGAAATCAAAATGATATTAAAGAATGGAAAGAAATAGAAAAAGAAAAGAAAGAAAACAAAATTGAACTTATTTCACCTCGTCAATGCTTAATTAAAAGTAAAGAAGAAATTGTAAAAAATAAACTTGATGAGTTAGTTGAAGAAATGGAACAAGAAAATAAAGAGTTATTTGAAGTTGAAAACAAAGAAGGATTTAATAATAATATAATTATGAAAGAAATAGAAGATATGAAAGAAGAATTTGAAGTAATGAAAAAGAATATCCTTTTAAATACTAAAGATGAAATTAAAAAGGAAAGAAGAAAAGAAATAATACAAAACCAAATCATTAAAAAAGATGATGCAAAAAATAAAAGAATTACTGAAATTATTAAGACTATTATTTGGTTAACTAACTGTAAGCCAAATGAAAAAGTCCCATTAAAAATACTTAGTTGTAAAGAAACATATAAACTATGGAAAAATAAATTAGATCAAGCAAGACCCAAAGAAACACATAAATTAGGAATTGTTTATGTTGGTATTGGCCAATTTAAAGAAGAAGAAGTTCTTGGAAATACTAAAGGTTCAGAAGGATATAATGAATTTATTAAACAATTAGGTGAAGAAATTAATCTTAAAGGATGGAATAAATATTGTGGAAAATTAGATACTAAATTTGAAAGTGATGGGGATAAAGCATTGTATTATTGTGATGAACGAGTTGAAATTATTTATCATGAAGTTGTTAAAATACCAATTAAGAAAGGAGAATTAATTTATCAACAAAAGAAAAGACATGTAGGAAATGACCGAGTTCATATTATTTATTGTGAGTCTAAATATTATAACCCATTAACAATTACAAGTCAATTTAATAATGCTCATATTATAGTTTATCCAATTAATAATATGTATAGAATTCAAGTTTATTATAAAGCAGGTGGAAGTTGGGGACCATTACAAAATGAAATGATTGTCTCTATTGACCAAATTGGAACACTTGTTAGAGAAACAGCAATTTATTTAGACAAAGCTTCATTAAGTAGATTTACTACAGATAAATTAATGAATCAATACATCTCTCGTCAATTAATTATTGAAAGAATTACTAAATTAGCAGAACCCAATGAAATTGATTTATTACATCTTGTTAACAGAATTAAAGAAATATCATCATCACTTTAAATCTCATTCATTTCAACTTTTTAATTTCAATACTTTTTATATAACTAATATTTTAAATGTTAAATGAAATTAAAAAAATAAATTATTTCTTTCCCCAGTAATTTGGCATATATCGTCCATACTTTTCATAATACCATTTGAAATGTTCTCTAATTTCATCATCAGAAATTAAAAATTCGTCATCTTTTTTCTCTTTTCTTCCATGACCTTTTTGAGGATCACCTTCTTCTTTTGTTTTAATCATTGCTTGTTTAATTTCTTCAGTTAAATCTAATCCAAATTGGTCATAAATTCTTTGAGAAACCTTAATTGGATCATCAATCATTTCTCTAAAACCAATATCACAAATTTGTTTGGCTCTTTCAGGTTTTTCTGCAATCCATTTTTCTCTCATTTCAAGTGAATTCTTTAAACAAAGAGTATTCATTTTAATAATATTTTCTTGTAACCATTTATAATCAGTTTCTCCAATATCTCCTTGATACCTAGCACGTGCATTTAATAACAAATAAAATGCTGATTTAAATTCATCAACTGGTTCTCTATGGATCCAAACAATTCTTGGTTCAATTTCATCACTACACATTATATTGAAAAATGGAATTGGAGTCATAAAATGACATACACATTTCATTAAGAAGTATTGGTCTTCTTTTAATGGTTCTTCAATAGCAGACATTTTCATTTCATCTAAAATACCATGATATACAGAAGAAAAGTCTCTTTCAAAACAAGACTTTCGGTATTGTTCCCATCTTGGCATAGCAGTTCCGAAAATATAAGTACATGCAAGAATTTCCATAAAGAATAATTCTTCTTCTGGAACTAACATATTATCCATATTATGGCATTTATTCATATCTTTACCATCATTAGTAATTTGTCCAATAATCATTTCAGAAATATTTAAACGAGCTTGCTTACTCATTGTATGACTTCCTGGACATAAATGTTCATATAAGAGTACTTTCTTTGAATGTGGATCACACCCAAGCATAGTGTGTGTAAATGTTGACCCACTTCTTGGAAGTGCAACAATATAAATTGGTTTCTTTATTTCAATGTTCTTTAACTCTTCTCCTTCAAGATATCGTTCTAAACAAAACCTTCCATAACAAGCAGTTTTAGCAACAGAACTTCTCATCATGACTTTAAATGAGTCTGACTCTGGATCAGTACATCCAGCAAACATTTCATATAATGACTCTTTAAAGAATGGAGCTTCAAGACAATCATTAATTAACATAAACTTTGTTTTATATAGTTCAGCATGAGAAGGATCTTGTTGACATAAAAATCCAATTGCCATTTGTTTGACTTTAGCAAAAATACCTTCAAACATTGGTCTTGGAATAAGTTCTCTATAATAAAGTGATTCTTTATTAATTTCATAATGATAAGGAACAGTATTAGGAAAAGACATGAATATTAAAATAAACTTTTCTTTCTAAGATTAAACTTTAAATATCTATCATTTTACCCTCGGTTTAGACCTTTCTTTATTTCCATTAAGGTTTTTTTATCATTTGGATAATCAACTCTCTATTTTTATTCTCTCATTTACAAGAAAATATAACTCTCTTTATTAATTTTATAGCTTTTATTATTATTTTTTTCTTTCATTTGAAGAAAGTTCATTAATCCATTTTTCTATTTTTAATTATAAAAAATTCAAAAAATGAATAATTTTTAGAAATATCTACTTCTTCAGAATTTTCTTTATTTCTTATCAAAAAACACATTTATTACAAATAACATAAAATTATAAATAATATTGTGTTATTCATCACTTTCAACAATAATTAAAGATGGAGAATTATTAGAAACAAGCTCAATTCTATCATCTCTAAATTTATTCTTTTTCTTTCCAAAGATAAAGAAAATAACTCCTCCAATAGTTAAAGCAAAAATGATGAAGAATATAAACTTTAAAATAAAAGTTGATAATAGTGGTAATTCATCATGTTCTTGAATAAAGGGATTACAATTTACATAAGAATCACTTGATACTAATATTGAATAAATATATTGATATTTTAACAACAATGAAAGAATAATGAAAATAAAATAAAAACAAACGTTTATACATAATCCATTTACCAAAACATTCGATATACACTCTACCAGTTTTTGTAATTTCGTTTGTTGTATTATCTATAAGATAAAGTTGTGGTAATTTTGTTTCTTGAGTAAATAATGTTTTAGGACTAAACAAAAGATATTGAGGATCACCATTCCATTCGGACATATTTACTATTAAACCTAGTTTACTTTCTCGTTCAAAAACAAAACTTCCTTCAGGACTTATTCTTATACAACCAATAGTTCCTGCTCTACATTGGATATTACCAAATACTAAAGTAGTTGTTAAAGTATCAATATAAGCATTGTAACCTAATTCAATATTACTACCTTTTTCTATTATAACACTATTACTATTAGAAAAGGAGATGAAATGATTTATTTTCATTTTCATTCCAACAAGAGTAGTTCCTTTGAAGTAAAACTTATCATTTCCAACAACTGTTATGGTTTCTCTATTATTTAATGAACTGAACAAAATAACTTCTTTCTCAAAAATAATTTTTCCTCCATCTACTGGAATAAGCATATCAAGTATTATATTTGATGTAACTGTAATTGCCTTACCTTTAAGACTATTAATTGTTATCATTTGGTTTGATTTAATAAGACATTCTGTTATACAATTTATACCACCAACTCTAGCATAAGTAAAATCAAGAATAACAGGCTGAGAGTCTTCAATAATCAATTCACAATCAGCACAAGGACAATACTCTTCTCTGTACTTAACTTTTGTACTATTAAGGAGTAATTCTCTTTGTCCATTTGAAATTACATGACATTGTTTAAATGCAGTAATTATTGGAGTTCCATCTATTTTCACAGCAACTTTACTGTCTGCAACAAGTTGAAGTAAAGAAGAGTTTATTGATTTAATTTCTGTGTTTGATTCAATAACTTTGAATAAATTGGCTGTACTTTTATAATAGGTTTTAACATTTAAACTATCAATAATTGTTGAATGAGTAATAAAGAATGTTTCCACTGGTTGATTAACTTCAATAGTAGTGTGATTTAATGTCACCATAAATGATTTAACCTTTCCACCATCTAATATAATTTTTGAATGACTTGAAGAAAACATAGTAACAATTATTGGTTCAGTTATTCTTAATTCACCGTTCAAAAGAAAGATGCTATGAAATGATAGTGAATTAATAATTGTTGCTCTAGATGAAGAAATAAATATGTTATTAATTACTTCAGAAATGATTAAATTTTGGTATGGATGTAATATTGAAACAATACTTCTTGAAGGAATAATACCAGAAGAAGGGTTGTAAATACTTGATGGTGTTAAGAAAGTAGTATAGTCATATCCTTTATAAGAATCAATTTGAGGAGGATATGGAGAAATAATTGATAAGGTTCCACTATTAGTAATTTGAGTAAAATGAATTTTATAAGGAGATAAGATTATGGCATATCCACTAATGTTTATTTCTCCAAAACTTGGAGAAATAAGAATTCCAGTAATTATATCTAGTGAACATTGTTGACATCTAACATGTCCAATAAATGACTCAATGGTTAAATGTTGATTTGAATTAAAATGAAATTCAAATGCACTAAATGAATCAACAACCGTCACTGGAACTTCAGAGTAAATAATTAAAAATGCAATTGACGGTAGGTGGTGTAACGTAACAGGTGAGGGTGATTGTAATGTAATAGTATAATTAACTAATGGTTGTGGGCAAGTAAAATCTTCACTTTGTATATACACATTAGGACTACTTAAGTCAATGTCTTGTAATTGTGATTTAATGATGCATTCATGAGTTAAATAACATGGAATAAGACAAAGAAAAAAAATTGAAATAAGTATCATTTGTTAGAAGAGATAATGATAAAGTTAGTTTAATACTCTTTTATTAAAATAAACTATAAATTTATTATAAAAAAATTATAACTTAAATTCTAATTATTTGAATATAATAAATTCTCTTTATTTAGTATTTGAAAGATGTGTTAACGAAAGAAATTTAACTAATTGTTCTATAATTTTAAATAATATTGTAACTAAAGAATATTACACAGATATTTGTTTAATCTATAAAAAAAGAATAATAACACATTAAAACTTACATAATTATTAATAGTCATTAGTTTCATACTTCCTTTGAATTAATAAAATTAAGGGAAGTATATATAAAAATTAAAGAAATATTTAAGAAGTACAAACTATAAGATTTTGATTTATAAATAAGAATCTTCTTTCTTTTTTTACTAATTTAATTCAAACAATACTTTGTCTCATTCATATCTTTCATGAATTAAAATTTTGTTAACCAACGATTAGAGGAGTATATTTTATAAGATAATATTAAAAGTCTAACTGTAATGAAGTAAATACATAAGGAAAATTTACAACAGTTTTAAGAATGAATTTTCAATAAATCCATTCACAGAAAAAGTTGATTCTGTGATTTAACAAAGACTCTAACTTTTTTAAATAGTTTTTTTTATAAACCAAGTAAATAAAAAGTATTTGTAAGAAGATACTTTTCAATTTAGTTTTTAAATGAAAATTAAATTAAATTAAATTATTTATCAAAAAATAACGAATGAATGATTTATTATATATCAAACATTCCAATAAGTAAATTAAAATATAAAATTTCATTAAAATAAAGAAAAGCATTCATTTATTTTATAAACTGATAATGTATTAAATATCTGACGTTGCATTCATAGTAGTTACCATCACTACTACAAAAATAATAAAAATTAATGGTCCTGTACACATAAGAGTCTCTACAAAAGAGAAAATGATCATAATAGTTCTTTTAGCTCTAACTCTATCACTTCTTGGTTTTCTAAAAATACACATCCAATTTATCCATTGTAATAATGGAAAGAATATACCTAAGACAAATAAGAAATTTGAACGCTCAAATTGACGTTTTTCTTTTTCATCACTTGATGAAGAAGAAGAGGATGATGACTTCTTCTTTTTAGGTTCTTCTATAGGGGCTTGGTACACTGGTTGAACAGGAGGAGGGTACATTCCTGGTTGTTGAGGTGGAGGATACATTCCGGGTTGAACAGGAGGAGGATACATTCCTGGTTGTTGAGGTGGAGGATACATTTGGCTATCAGGTATCATTGGAGGATCATAAGTGGATTGTTGTTGATAACTCATAAAGTATTGAGAGAATAATAAAAATAAGAAAGATAAAAAAACTTAAATATTGCTAATTTTACCTTTAAACCGCTCTTTCAAAAAAATCCCTCTTTGAAAGAAGAATTTTATTGAATAATAAAAAATTATTATAAAAATCATAATTTCTATAAAATGTCTCTATTAAAGAGACATTTGATTTTCTTCTTTTCAATAAGCAAAAATAGAATATAGATTTATAATTAACAAATTAAATAATTCAAATATTCATTAATCTAACTTTTTTATTCTACGTTAAAAAGAAAGGGTTATTTTTTATGAATTTTTCATTATTCATGGGTATCTTTTTTATATTTTTTTTGAAAAACTAACAGAGGAATTTACTCAGAACAAAAATCAATTTTGGCAGTAATTTGAACGAAAAGAAATAATAAAAATTATATTCATGGATGGAATTTTGAGATACATTACTTTCAGTTTTGAAAGGAACAATCCAAAAAAAAAATAAAGTATTTATTAATTCTCTTATAACAGTATGTTATTTTAAATAAGGCAATGTAGTTTATTCACCTTAGTCTTAACCAAAACTTTATAAAAATAAATACAATAAATAATTAAATAAAAAATAAATAATTTTATTCATCTTACTTCATCAAATATTTTTTGATGAATTATTTATAAAATTAATATTCTTGTTTTATTCAACTTTTGCACTGACTCTTTAGTTAAAACAACATGTTAAATGAATTGAGAAATAATTAGTTATAGTCCAAGAACATGTTGTTTGATATTGTTATTGTTTATTCAATTGTTGAAATTTAACTATTATTTAATGTATTTCTCATTAGTGAAACTCATTATTAAGAACAGTACAGTGTTATTTCAACAATAAAAGTGATTTTGAAATGGTATTAAAGAGTAAGCATAATTAATTTGTAAATAAAGAAGCCATGAAAGATGAAATTAAAAACAAATAATGAGAATCATATAAGAAAAAGTAAAGATAAAAAAACATCAACAGAAAATAAATACCTGGTTATGAAATGAAGGTAAAATAATGAAATGTTGAAATAATCCTATTAATTTTTCAATTAAATTGATTTTATTTGATTGTTTTAATGTTCTATTTTTATATTAATGATATAATTTAATATGATATAATTAATGTGTTTATTATATTTATGATGAATTGTTTATACAAAGAAACAATTATTAATGAAGATATATTCATTAAGAAAAGTTATAAATTGATAAAGTATGTTTTTATTGGAGTAAAGTATATGTGTTTCTTGTTTTTGAATAAAATTCATTTTCATTTTTTATTTATAATTGTTAAACCAATCTTGATATGCTTGAAATTACCTAAAAAATTAGAAAAAGAAGAAGGATTGAAATAATGGTTGTGGGAGAGTGTGATATTAAGAACAAAATTGATTTTCATACCTGTATACAAGAAGTTTGTTAAACAAATGAAATTAGTTGATGCTGCATTATGCAATTGAATTTCTTGATAAAAATACAATACAAAATATGAAATAGATAACAAAATATAAACAAATTTTATTTTATAAAATATAATTAAATGTTTATTTAAAAGAAATAATCATATAAAAGGAAGTGAAAAAGAATAAAATATATATAAGAATAAAGAAATATAAATTAAGTTATAAAAAGAGAAAAATAAATAATATATGATATTCTATTTTGATACAGATTACGATTTCATAAACAATTATAAAAATACTATGATAAAATAATCAAGAATAATGGAATTATTAATTGATAAATAAAAGAATGTGATTATTGAAAAAATTAAATAAAAAAACAATTATATGACTCTATTGCAATTTAATTGTTATTATTCCTTAAAGTTGACAATAAAGATTGAATAAAAAGAAAATAAAAATTCAAAGATTAATAATATCTTCTGTATAATTATTGAAACAAACGTTAAACTTCAATTATTGTATAATCTTTATTCATTTTGTAATATACTTTCAACAATGAAAATAACCAAACAAAAATATCTGATAATGTTGATGAATTTATTGTTAGATTATGTTATAATTATGATTATTTTTACATAATCAACATAACTATATCAATTCAGCATCAACAACATCATTATGAATAATTTTACTCTTAAGATTACATTTAATATCTTCACATGAGAAAACTATTATCTTAACTTAACAAACAAGGTATTTTACTGTGTTTTTACTACTTATTTTAATAAAAAGAAATACTACCAATTTTATCCAAATTAAAAAAAATAATTACAATATTATTTGTATTGTATGTATTTATAAATTCCTTAATGTTATTTATTCATACTCAATTGAATTAAGTATTCTTTATTTGTGTTTTATTAATTATGTTATTTTAAAATGATTTAATACCAATTATCATTTTTATAGTTTATGTATTTTATTTAATTTGATATTATAATAATATGATGATTATTTATCATTTATATTCATTTTATTTGTTATATTTATTGCATTTATTATTTCTATTTTATTATGGATTTAGATTATTTATTTATGAAATCCAATTTATAATAAATTTTTCATTTATTTTGTTTATCGATGTTATTTTATCATTTTGAATTATCATATTTGAAAATGTTATGTATTTATTTAATAAAAAATGAATTATTATTTGTATTTCTATATTTCATTTTTATTCTTGTTATTATATTATTCTTTCTATTATTTGTAAATTTTATCATTATACACATTTCTTAGAATATTGATTATTCTTTTATTTTTATTTATTCAAATGAATAATATAATTAACAAATGAATAAGAATGATGAATCATTTTTATTTCAATTATATTAATATTTCATTTATTTACATTTTTTATTTGTTGTGTTAATTCAAATGATATAATATTTTATTCTTCATTATTTTACAAACTAAATTATTTTATTATTCATTTTTATTGTTATAATATTCTCTTCTTATTGAAATATCATTCAACACTTTTTTATAACCAAAAATAAATATGAATGATAAATATCCATATATCAAACAATTTAAATGAAATAAATAATCAACTCAATAATATTAATACTATAAAAGAAATAAATGATTATTAAATTTAATGAATGATAATATATATTGATGTTTTATTCTTCATTTTATTACTTAAATAAAATGATAAAATATCAAAAAGAATAATCATAAAAATAATACAATAAAAATATCGAATTAAAAACTATGATTAAATATAAATGGGTAATATTAATTCATATTTATAAACAAAGAAAATACAAAACATTTAACTATTGTTTAGCTATGAAAATAGTACAGAATTATTTTAACAAGAAACTATTGAAAAATTCAAAAATAGAAATGAAATGCTCAATTATACAACTTTATAATAAAAAAGAAAAGATAAAAGGAGTATTACTATAAGAAATAATAGCAAACACTATAATAAATATATTTTATACATTATCACTTTTATCTAGAGTAAAAATTGAATGTTATAACGTTAAGAGTTAATGAAATTTTCTTAATTAATTCCTTGTTCAAAAATTTGGGTTGTTAATTTTGAATAAGAAACTAATTAGTTTCTTATGACCAAAAAAATAATACTAAAGAAATAGATTAAATAATGTTATACCATGTTATTTGTAAGAATATTTTTTATACAAATAAATATGACTCAACACATTCATATTTTATTTATCCTTAACTAATAATATCAATATCTTAAGACAACCATATTTTTAATAAACCTCAATAAACATTTCTTTTATTTTATTTAGATTGATAATTAATAAACTTTGAGTATTATATGTTTCATATATGATATTCTATTTAAAAAAAATTCTTTTAAGAAATTCAATTTTTATTTTGTTCTGAAGACTCACTTTTGCTTAATACCTATTCTTCATATAAGAAGTTATGTCAATTAACCCTATTGACTATGTGCTAATAATATAAATGCTTACAAAAAGTTGAAACAGAAAAATACACAATTGTTCTATTCCCTAAAATTATTATATCTTCATTATATGATTTAGTTGTTCATTTGTTTATTTTTAAGAAGTAAAAAATAACAAAATTAACAATAGTTTTCTTTGAATTAGGTATTTGAATATTTCAACCATTACAAACTTATTTACATATTTCAAATACAAAATTAATGATTATAAAATGTTTTACAAATGAGAAATAACGTTCTACATTACCACCTTGGTTTTATCTTTGATTGTGTATGTTATAAACAATAGAACGTAATGGTTATAATAAAAAACATGAACAATTAAAATAAACAAAAAAAGAAAAAAGGATGTACAAAGAAATACATTCCAGTCATTTTGACTTATGAAGTGTTGTATAAATTCATAATCAACAATAATGTATTAAATTGAGAAAATGTCATAATAAAATAAAAAAACACAAATTGAATAGAAATAGTTTATATTATTTAAGAAAGAAAAAAAAACAATAATAATAGTAAAAGGAACTAAAGAAATAAAAAGAAGAAAAACCCTGAGATCCAAGAAAAAAAACCCTGAAACACTTGTTATTGTAGCTATGGCTTTACACAAAGCTGGTTTAAGTAAAGAACAAAAGAAAGCTAAGAAAGAAGCATATCTTGTCAAGATGAAAAAACTCTTGGAAGAATACAAACAAGTTGTAGTTGTCAAATGTGATAATGTAGGATCATCTCAATTCCAAACTATCAGAAAAGAATTAAGAGGAACATGCGAATTTGTTATGGGAAAGAATACTCTTATTAGAAAAGCCATCAAGAATCAAGCAGAAACTCAACCAGAACTCGAAGAACTTCTTCCACACATTAAAGGTAATGTTGGATTCATCTTTACTAAAGGTGATCTTTATCAATTAAAAGCTAAACTTACTGAACTTAAAGCACCATCACCAGCTAAAGCTGGAGTTATTGCACCAAATGATGTCATTGTACCAGCTGGTGACACAGGACTTGACCCAACACAAACCAACTTTGTCCAAGCATTGAACATTGCCTCAAAGATTACTAAAGGTCAAATTGAAATTACTTCAGAAACTCTTTTAATTAAAGAAGGAGAAAAAGTTGGTGTATCACAAGCAGTTCTTCTTCAAAAATTAAAGATTAATCCATTCAAATATGGAGCTGTTATTGATGTAGTTTATGATAACGGAATTGTTTATGATGCTAAAGCTCTTGATTTAACTGAATCAGATATTGTCAAGAAATTCCAAGAAGGTGTTCAAGCTGCTACTGCTATTTCACTTGCTGCCAATCTCCCAACCGAAGCAGCCTGCCCACATCTTATGCTCAATGCATTCCAAGCTCTCCTTGGATTCTCAAAAGAGAGTGGTGTTGTATTCCCATTGGCTGAAAAGATCTTCAATAACATGACTGCCGTTGCTGCTACTGCTGTTGCTACTGAAAGTAAAACTGAAGAAAAGAAAGAAGAAGCCCCAGCTGCTAAAGAAGAAGAGGAAGAAGAAGATTTTGGAGGATTTGGTGATTTGTTCTAAGCAAGTTTTTGGAAGATAAAAAAATCATTTATTAACTTTTTATTTTATAAAAACAAAAGTGAATGAAAATAATTCATTAAATAAAAACATATTTTTAATATAATAATAATATTATTTATTTCGGATTTATAAACAGTCTGTTATTAAAGAAAATAATAGAAAAATAAAAGTTAAAACATTTCTATTCTACGTGAATTTAGTGGTTAAATAAAAATTTATTTTACCAATAAATAAAGGTACTTTTACAAGAAAATTATTTGTTTTATTTCAAAAAAAAATATATCTTCTATTACTATCTGAATTCCATTCCAAATAAATGAATAAATTGATGGTGTTAATGTTGTCATTTGACGAATATATGATTCTAATAATAATGAACCAAAAAAATATTTTTATAAAAAACCCATTTATTGATTCATCATGATTAAATAATAAATGTCTATATACTGGTCTCTTTTGTAAAAGCATATCAAGAAATACTAATACATTATCATATTCTATATATTTATCAGCTACTTTACCACATTTTGGACATCTTAAAAGTCTTATAAATTGACCACAAAATATTTCATAAGTATTATCAATATCACATCCACATTCAATACATTTCATTGAATCTTTTTTATCAATAATTGATTCATTTTTATTTTCATTTTGTGTAGAAGTATTACTTGTGTTATTCATAACAATGAAAAAGTAAATGAATCTGAAAAAGATTAAAATAAGAAGAAATTAATCTTTCCTATCTTTTTCTTTCTTGTTTTATTATTGTTTTAATAACAAATTAAAATTCTTTAAAAAAAAACCCCTTTTTTTTGTTTTATTTCTTAATAAATGATAAAGAAAACATAAATATAAAAGCATAATGTAGTAAATAACATACTTTTTTATTTCTTATCTGATTGAGCCCAAACAGTCTTTTTAAGAATAAATGATATCATAATATCTGCTCCTATAGCTATAACAACAACTGCTACAATAATACCAAGAATTAAAATAACTGTTTTAGAATTATCAACTATAATAAATTAATTATGTGAAATGTTCAATCAATTTGGATATGAAATAATAATATATAATAACAAACTTACTTCTTCACATTCTCCATCTTTAATTGCATAGTCATCTTCACATTGAGTACATACACCCATTGAACATAAAGCACAATGAGAACCACATTGATTACAAGTAAAACTACCTGATTTATCTTTTCTTAATTCATATCCAAATTCACATCTTTGGCATGATTCAGCATCAAAACATGAACTACAATGACTTGAACAATTTTGACATTCACCAGTGAGAGATACGTATTGATTATCTAAACATGAAACAGCATAAGTTAATGAAACAAATAATATAATACAAATAAATACCTTCATCATGAGATAAATTTTTTAGTATTAATGTATTTAAGTTTTAATCAAATAAAAAGATATACAACTTCTTCTATATTAACAAGAGTATATTCTTTTTTTCTTTCTTTTCTTTCTACATCCTTCTTTTTTTTATATTTTTTATTAAACTATAAAATAATAAATGTTAATTATAATTTATAATAATTCAAAGTAATGAGAATTTTATTACTTTAATCCCTTAATAATATCAAATATATTCTTCTTCATTCTTTCTTTATCATTCTGTTTTAAAGTCCATTCTTCTACTACAAAGACTTCAACTTTCTTTTGTAATTTGCCAAATCTTATTGGATTTTTTAATCTAATAACAATATTATTTCCATCAAATCCTAATGATTCGATTAATTGATATGGTATTTTCCATTTAGACTTAGTTAATTCTCCAACTTCTTTTTCTACACCAATCATTGATTTTAATGTAAAAATAATTCCTTTAATTTTATTATCTACAACTTGTTTAATCCAATCATAAAATTTTAATTCTTTAAAAGCACCACCATCTGCTTCCATTAACATTGACCATCCTTGTGACTGAAGATAATCAAAACAAATAAGTTGTTCTGGACAATACCTTGGTGGTCTAATTCGTTCTTTAGCAATTTGTCCAAATGATATTCCTGTTAATCCATCATTAACACTTTTAAAAAATCCTACAATTCCATCTAATGGTTTTACAACAATTCCTGCGGCACCAACTAATGCACCACCAATAAATCCTGCTGGTGCTAATTGTTTCTTTTGTGTTCCAGCAAGATCAGTTAATCCAACAGAAGTTTTCCAAACACCTTTAACTCCACGAGCAACAGAACTAACAAGATTTTTTGTACCATCTTTTAAAGAATATTCAAAAGTAGATTGTTGTGCTTTTACTAAACTATCAGGAACATCTTTTCTAGGAATATTATCAACTCTTCTTAAAAAGTGGTTAAGTTCTTCTTCTGTTTGTTTATCAATTCCATTCATAGAACTTATTTCAAAACGGTCTTGAGTAAAGTCAATTGACTTTGGTCTTTTGTTGACTATAGTCCTAAGTCCAAATAATTTACCAACAACAATCCATTTTAAATTACCTAAATCTTCAAGTATTTTTTCTTTTATTAAATTTAATAATACTGTTGTTGTAAAACGTTTGTTACGAATGATATGTTTATTAAATCTAATAGGAATTCTATCAACATCCATTTCACGTGCTTGATATAAGAGTCGTAAGATTAATGAATGTTTTGAAGGTTTTTTTGTTGTTTTTCCAATAGAAGTATTAATATCAATTGTATTAATAATAGCGTCTTTAATAATTAATCTTAAAGGGTCATTATCATCAGTTTTAGAGTTATTTGTAGGAATTAAGAAAGGGGGATATTCTTCTAAAGTTTCAAGAATATGTTGTAAAATATCTGGTTCAATAAGAATTTCTAATGGTTGAATTGTAAAACTTGCTTTTGAAATACAACGTAATTGAAGGATATTTCCTTTTGTTGGAGTAATTAATAATAATCCAATATGAAAAAATGATTTATTTGGATCATAAATCCAATCAAGTGGTCGTGGAGAAATAATAACTGGATTTTTTAATATATCTAATGATTGAAAATCTAATTGAATATAATCAAATTGCATTTCTAAACCAAGATGTCTATCTGTTCTAACAATTTCTAATAAAATTGATTTAATATTTAATGATAATTCTTCTTTTGCTCCTTTTCCAAAAAATGAAATACCAAATGAAGGTAAACTTAAATCAATATTCCATTTAACTTGTTCTTCTTTTCTTTTATTTTTATCAATTGTAATAATACTAAGATTTCCTTCTATTTCTATTGAAATAGTGTTTGAATGAATTAAATATTCTTTTTCAATATCAAGAGGATCAATAATACAACCATTAATCAATAATTTTCTTTCTTTAATTGGATTAATCCATGCAAATGGTAAAGAGTGATAAGGAAGTAATTTTATTTTCATATTACAACCATACTGACTAATAATATAAGAGTTATTTGTTTTATTGTCTAATCTTAAAAAAAGTTCTTTACATCCATAAATATTTGTATAAAATGAACCTTTATTATTTTCTGTTTGAATTGTAAATATTCTATATGATTCAAATGTTTTCATAAGTATTTGATATTCATTTGTTTCATTTATTTTTATTGGAACACCATAATAATCAATTATACCAATAGTTATTATATTTGAATGAACAGGAGCAGATTCATTTGGTGCTAAAGTTATAATTTTGTTTTTATATTTTAATTTTAATGTTTTAGTTGTTGAATTTGTAACTATAAATTGTGGTTTAATACTTATCTTTAATGAAGAACTTAGTTTATTCATAATTTTAAAGAGAGTAATTGTAGCAATAAGTTCTTGATGATCTATCGTAAGGTATTTAGTTTCTCCAAGACTTAAAGGAATAGGATCTTTAAATGGTTCATTAACAGTACGTTGAATTAATTCTAATGAATTAGTATTTTGATTAAAAGGAGCATATAAATAATATCCTTTAGTGGAATTAATTGTTCCAAAATCATTAATAACAAGAGGTAAAAGAGTTGAATTTTTAATATAAAAAGGACAGTCAAATATTATAGTATGATCTTTAATCGATTGTTTAAAATGATATTTTCCAATAATAAGTGAAGGTAATTCCTTTGTTGAAGAACAATAAGAATTTATTGAAGATTGAACATTTTTATCATCAAAAATAAAACCATTCAATTGGTCAATTACCATAACAGAATAATAAATTGTATCATTATAACCAATATCATTAAAACTACCAGATGAGAAAGGTTGTATAATAATACAAGAATATTTTTGATTTATAGAAGGATTTAAATTTGAATGATTTAATATATTTAAAGAAGAAGAAACATTAATATTACTTTTATTATTCAATTGTTGAAATATATTAGGATTTGAAAGAAAAGTACTTTGGTGAGTAATAAATATAGATAATGTTAAAGGTAATTTATTAATAAAAGTAAATGGAGGTAAAATTTGAATAGTAATTGGAGTAATAAATTTATTTTCTGATTTTAATTTTTCTGAATATTTATATTTTAATACAAAAGACTTATCATTAATAACAAAAGGAGTAATTGAATTCATTATGAAGACTTCATTATCTTCATTATTTATTAAAGAATATTCAAAATTAAAATTTTGAATTATTTTGTCATTTTCTGGCAGAGAAATTGAAAATGAAAAAGGTTTAATACCAATTATTGGAGTAAATGAAAGAGGAGAATAAGTAGAGAGAAGAGATGTATTATTTACATTTATTTTTAATGGAATTTGAGTTTTATTTTTAAATATAACAATAGAAGAAATACAGACCATTTGAATAAACTTATTATAATGAAATTTAATAGTGATATATCCATAAATATTTCCATATTGTTTTAAGTTATAAATAAATTTATTATTTCTATTTTTTAATGAAATAACAACATTAATTGGATCAAATGTTCCAATTAATATAATTACATTTCTTTCATTAATAAGAGGAATTTCTAATGATTTATCTTTTTCAATAATGAAAGATTGATTTTTTGTTTTAAGAATTAATTGTTCACCAACTCGATTAATAATTTTTGATATTCCTTTATTTTTATAATATTCTGTATCAATAGTTTTTACCCAATGTTCAAATAATTGATTTAAAGTTAATATAAATTCTGGTGTAATATTTAAAATTAAAAATCTATTAGGACTAATATCAATTTTAAAATGTGGTATTAAACATTTTCCAGTTATATTAAATGGTTCAATTAATGGTTCAATTGTCCAATTTTTCTTTGAAGTATTAGTGTATTTAATTCCTGTTTGAATTATATTAAAAGCTAATTCTTTTTCATTTAATTCAACAGAAAATAATTCTGTATTTAATATTAATGATTTACAACTTTCAATAATATCTCCTTCTTGAGATATAAATTCACTTGATAAAACGAATTCTATTTTATTAATATTAAAACTAACTATTAAACTTGGAAATATAAATCTTTCATTTTGTTTTAATGACGTTTTAATTTTTTTATCTTTTAATTCTAATCCTTCTTGACTTAATTTTAATTTGATTAAATTATTTTCTTCTTCAGGAACAGTTAAAATACTTTGAATACTTTCTTGAAATTCTTTAATAAGTTTAATTGTAGTATCCAAATCTCTATTAGAAAATTCAATATTAACACAGTCTAATAAAAAACTAATATTAGGAAGTGTTAACATTCTTAATGAGGAGCTAAATGTTTTAATAGTTGT